TATTACTAGAGTTTCTCTCCAGTATGTGTTTTCTCATGTTTGGTAAGGTGAGAGCTCAGATTCAAGCCTTGGCCACTTTCCTTACATTTATAAGGTTTTTCTTCCAGTATGAATTCTCTGATGTTGAGTAAGATGTGAGTTCTTGATAAAGGGTTTTCCACAGTCTTTACATTTGTAAGGTTTCTCTCCAGTATGAATTCGCTGGTGTTGAATAAGACTTGAGTGGTGACCAAAGGCTTTTCGGCATTCTTCACATTTATAAGGTTTCTCTCCAGTATGAATTCTCTGGTGTTGAGTAAGATTTGACTTCTGATTAAAGGCTTTGCCACACTTCATACATTTGTGTGATTTCTGCTGCGTATGAATTACCTGATGTTGAGTAAGACATGAGCTACAAGGAAACACTTTGCCACATTCTTTACATTCGTTTGGTTTCTCCCTAGCATGAACTTGCTGATGCAGACTGAAATGTGAACACCTAAAAGTGGCTTTGCCACTTTCCTTACCTTTGTAAGGTTTCTGCTCTGTATGGATTCACTGATGTTGAGTAAGCTTTGAGTTCCGATTAAAGGCTTTGCCACACTTTGTACATTTATAATGCTTCTCCCCAGTATGAATTCACTGATGTTGACTAAGATTTGAGCAAGACATAAATGCCTTTCCACATTCCTTATATTCATAAGGTTTCTTGCCATTGTGGATTTGCCAATCTTGACTAAGATTTGAATTCTGATTAGAGGCATTGCCACACTCTGTACCTTTGAAAGGTTTCTATCCTGAATGAATTTTCCTGTGTCTACTTAGACTGGATGAGTTAGTAAAGGCTTTTTCACATTTCTTACACTTGTAACTTTTCTGCGGATCCTGAATATTCTGCTGTTGAGTATGACTTGAAGAATGATTAGAAATATCATTCTATTCACAATTATAAGTCTTCTCTCCTGTATATGTACTCTTCTTTAGTGTAAGACCTGATGTTTGATAAAAGATATTCCTACATGTACTATTTTTAGAATCCTTGTCTGAAGATTGAGGTCCCTGATGTTTCATAGGGTTAGAGTCTTGTTCAGTTTTAGACCCAGTTTCATTGCATGAATAGCTTCTCACCGATTGTAAATATTCTTGTAATTATTGGGGGTAGAGCTCTTACTTAAGGCCTGACTCGTGTTATTACATGTGAGAAGTTGTTCCATATAAACCATATCATGATGTGTATTGAACAATGTTGGTGGGATTAACTCTTTTCCATTATTATCAACATTACACATTTTGGAACAGAAAGAATCTGTCTGTTGGTAGAAGAATAATGACCCCTTGCTCACAGATCCCTCAAATTGATTATATTGTGAGATTTCCCCATCATTTTTAAATTTCTGGTTTTCAGACGTGCTTGAATGTATGTGTAATTGAAGCCTGTGTTCAGAGTGGTTTGAATGAGTATGTGCAGTAGAGACTGGATGACTTTCCAGATTTTCCACATTCCCCTTCAGAGAACGTGTATGTTTCAAAAAATGATTTAAGCCTTTGCTTGAAAAGATACGCTTCTCTGCAGATGTTGATAACTGAAATGGGTGTTTTCCCCAATTTCACTCACATTGCTCATTTCTTTTGTCAGTAATGTCTGCGTTATGTGAAACTGTCTCAGTTCCTTTATGTCCATATAAACATCTTCTAGGTCTTTCACAGACCCCCATATATTCCTGGTCTTTCATTAAATGTTCATTTCCATGGTGAACTCTTTCATATGTTCCTAGGTTTGCCTTTTGGATTAAATTTTCTAACCTTGGATTCTTTGACATCAAAGCATGGGTGTTGTGAGAAGACACAGCTGAAAGATACAAAATAAAAGTTTATCAAAATAAAAGATATCAAATCTACTATTCTCAGTGAATATCCTTAAAGATGTAGAGAAAATAGAGACACAAGAATTAAGATGCAAGAGGATTAGGCAGACTTGGAGTTCATCTCTCTCCACGAATGCATCAAGCATACATCAGAAATGGGACAACTCTCACAGAGGGCCCTCTGAACACTAGCAGAGGACCTAGAACACCTAAAAGGACAAAAAAGAAGGAAGAGGATAGGAAGTGTGATGGGACCTGCAACCCTGGGGGGATCTGAAGAGAGGAGGTCTCCATGTCCGGAGAAGCCCCTCACACTGGGGAGCCCAGTTGGGACAGAAGGGGAGCCGCATCTGTGGGAAGAGAACATGGCAACGGTCTGTGGCAGCAGGACAGAGTGAGACCTGCACACGGGGTACTGACCCCTGTCCTGCCCACCCAGCCTGAGAGGGTGTCCACCACTGCAGACAAGGGCTGGGTGCTGGAACGTGGGGTTCGGAGAGCAGACCCAGGCAGAGGACTGCTGTGGGCTGTGGGAAGACATCCTGAGGGGACGGGAGGGAGGGAGGAGCTCTGTAAATGGGTTGCTTGTGGAGGAAGCCTGAACCACCATTGAGTAGAGCAGCATTGTTGAGTGATGCCAGAATGGAAGAACCCACCTCAGCCTCTCTCCCCCTGTGCTGGCCCCTCATCCCTGGCAATAGGAAGGACCACCACCCGGGTGGGCTCTATTGAGCCCCAACCACGGCCTCCCCCATGCCCCTCCTCCACCGTCAGCAGACCCCTGTGCTCTGGGGCAGCCTCTGGAGCAGACACCTGTGGGTGGGCCACATGCTCAGATGGAGCTGAAAGCACAGCTGAGCCCCAGGGTTAAGGAAGAAAACCTGAATTCTCTCCTCACAGCTGCACAAACCATGTTTTTACACTCGCCATGGACTTTGTCAACTCAGTCCTTACAGAGCATCTGAATGGATGACCAGGGCTCCCCCAGTCATGGAGGTGTAGCTTTAGCAACTGTAGACTTTGTGGGGATGTACGTGAGGGGGTGTGGCCAGGCCACAGTCTGAGCTGCCCCATAGCACCACAGTGGATCCAGCTCCGTGAAAGCAATTCTAGGCCCTGATTTCACTGGATCTATGCTGGTGACTTGCTGAAAACAACATCTGAGAGACAGCAGGGCCATGTGCAGAGATACCCATGGTTGAGGTGGGGCCAAGTGCAGTGCCGACCAGGGTCACATGAGACTCACACAAGGCGTGAGCACACCCCGAGGGGAACATCCCCAGAGCAGCAGTCCTCAGGGCCTTCTCTCCCGGGGTTGTGGTCCAATCCCACCTGCCTCCACCACAGATCAGAATCACAGTGAGGAAACAGATCTGGGGGCTTCTACTCCACCAACCAGGGAGCAGACCCACCACAGACAGGGCGGTGACAGCCACAGGGCCATGGGGAAGCTCCCCTCAACATCCAGGGCAGGCTCGGGTCAGAATAACAGGAATCAAAGCCCAGATCAAGGGGAGAGGGGCACAAGCCTGCGGACCAGCCTCACCCCCCAGGGGGCAGACAACAGAGCAAGAGGAGCTAGGAATCCTGCAGCCTGCAGAACAGGCCACAAATCCAGAGAATGTGACAAAATGAGAGGACAGAGAAGTGTGGTGCAGAGGAAGGAGCAAGACAAAGAGCCACCGGAGCCGCTGAATGGAGAGGAGACTGGCGGTCTAATGATTACTTTCTGACTTAAGTCATCTTAAATGGAGACGCCACTAGGTGCCTCCTAACTCTTTAACCCACTTCTTATTTTAGTGTGTTCTATTAGATGGTTTGGAGAAAGCAATGGCACCCCACTCCAGTACTCTTGCCTGGAAAATCCTATGGATTTAGGAGCCTGATAGGCTGCAGTCCATGGGGTCGCTAAGAGTCGGACACGACTGAGCGACTTCCCTTTCGCTTTTCACTTTCATGCATTGGAGAAGGAAATGGCAACCCACTCCACTGTTCTTGCCTGGAGAATCCCAGGGACGAGGGAGCCTGGTGGGCTTCCGTCTATGGGGTCGCACAGAGTCGGACACGACTGAAGCGACTTAGCAGCAGCAGCAGCAGTAGCATTAGATGTTTCAATCTAAACATCAGAAATGATACTGACGTAGGTCTAATCAAAAAGTGAGGACATATAGGACAAACTCCGGAGAAGCTGATAACAAGATTAATTAATAAAGAAGTAGTTCTTGAGAAATTAAATAAGAAATGAGACTTTAAAAATATGGTGGGAACACAGGGGACACTATCAATGCTCTGTGGAGATCTAATTGGGAAGGAAATCTAAAAGAGTAGGTATATACTAAAACCAATTCTCTTTGCTGTACAACATTGTAACCCAGTTATACTCCAATGAGAATGTTTTTAAAAGATTATATTATCTAAAAATTGTAATATTTTGAAACCATTACAAAATGTAGTGGAAAATGTTTTAAGCTCTTATGCCAATTTATTTGAAAATTCTTTGAGCTTGTTGAATATATTTAAGTCTTTTAGCATTGAGGAATTGCGGCAAATACACTTAACATTTCATATGAGTTCATATGAAGAAAACAGGAACTTTGAACTAACAGTGAGATTTGCATTCTTTCTCTTTAGGGAGGTTTTGGTTTATGCATGAAGAAATTACTTAAATTTAAAATGTATAAGATCATATTTGTAGCTTCCAGTGTTTTAGAAATTATAAGTTAGAAAAAACCCCTCTGTCCACAGTATTCCTACAACTTGGGCAGTATGTCTACAATTCCACTCACATATTACCACCTAGTGGTAGAAACAAACTTTAACAGGAGCGTCTTAGAGTTATTCAGAAACATGCAGTTTTCCTAGGGCCCCCAGGAAATTCAATAGTAACCGATGCATGCAGGTTGTCACAGGCCAAGAGGAGGTTTTCAGTTCTCACTGTGATTGAGAAAAGAGATCAGTGGAGATGAATTCAGGAATGACTTAAGAGACAGGATGGGGCACGTGATATCCGCCTATGACAGCAGCAGAAAGAAACCCAGGCTTCTCTAAAATCATTTCCACTGAAGCAGATCTTCCCAAACCACATGACAGAGGATGAATTCCTTACTGATCCTTGGACCTGTCACTGAGTCATCGGCTTCATCCATTCACACCTACCTGTGTATATGGCTGCCATCTCCTGTCTCCTTACATCCCAGGGATTCTTCATTTGCTCCAGAAAGGTGATCAGGTCTGGCTTAGAGACCACAAGACCTGCTATCAGGAAAAGGAGTGTTTGTTTTGCTAGAGATTCATCAGTTTCCACTCTAATATGTATTCAGGTGAGAAGAGAAGGCATGTGTGCTAAGTCGCTCCAGTCATGTCTGACTCTTTGCCACCCTATGGACTATAACCCACGAGGCTTCTCTGTCCATGGGATTCTCCAGGCAAGAATACTGGAGTAGGTTGCCATGTCCTCCTCCAGGAGATCTTCTCAACCCAGGGATCGAACCTACTTCTTTTACGTCTCCTGCATTGGCAGGCAGGTTCTTTACCACTGGTGCCACCTGGGAAGCCCAGAGAAGGCATGGTAGAATATTAATACAGCCTAGAAATAAAGTATTTGGGGACATCATTTCCTAGGCTGTATTAACTTTCTCTGGTGGCTCAGCTGGTAAAGAAGCCACCTGCAATGTGGGAGACCTGTGTATTGATGCCTGGGTTGGGAAGATCTTCTGGAGAAGGGAAAGGCTACCCACTGCAGTATTCTGGCCTGGAGAATTCCATGGACTATTCCATGGGGTCGGAAAGAGTCAGACACAACTGTAATCTTGCTCATTATATTAACACTCTAGAGAAGGCATGGTTGAATGTTAATATAGCCTAGAAAATTATATCCCCAGACACTTTATTGAAAGCACTTTTATAACCCTAACAAATAAGTAAAGAAAAGATCTTGAGATTCTAGTCAAGTACTACTAACGCCAAAGTAAGTAAGTAGCAGAAATCTGATTTGAAAAGGAGAGTGGCACCCTCTTATAGCACAGAACCTAGAGAATTACCACTAACCTAGAAGAAGGAGGCAGATCACATCAAAGAAAAGTCAGAATCATAATGAATCATCATGAAGTCTTTTTCTCAAGTCAGAAATACCCATTTTCCCAAAGAAAGCAGGGATCTAAAACTATTGTAAGAAGCAGAAGATTCTAGATGACATTCTAGAAATACAGGAACCAAAACCCAGTGGGTAGATAAGGGATTCTGGAAAGAAGTTACCCTCACCCAAGGAGGCCAGGTTCCTGTAGTTCTCTAACATCATGTCCCTATACAATTCCCACTGACCGAGGTCCAGGCATTCCCACTCCTCTTGAGTGAAGTCTATGAGCACATCCTTGAACGTCAGCCATCCCTGAAATACAAAGTACAGATGCCATGGAGCCGTGGGAATACTTCCTAATGTGACCCAAGATGAAACCAGCAAGAGAAATGGTTTTGATTTAGGAGAGTGGCTGGTCTTATAGAATATAATTTTTAAACAGTAATGTTTTCTACCACATTTTTAACCCCAAGAAAAGAGGATGAGATATGATCCATCAAGCACTACAGAAATTCTCCTGATTTAGAAGAGAAATTAGAAAATAATCAGATCAACATTGGCATATTTATTTCTGAGTGTTGTACTCAGTTGACAGAGGATAAACTGTCTATCAAAAGAAACAGGAAATATTTTTTAAAAGCATTTCCTGATGCAAGTGTTCTGGAGTGGGCTCAGTATGTCACATTTTTAACAAGCTTATTTGAACTAGTAATGTTGGAAATTCTGCTCCATGAGTGACAATGTTTGAACAGCAACGAAGCAGAATAGTAAGGAAAGAATTCATATTTAACTTTGAACTTTAAGTGCTTTACAGATTTTATAGGTCTGATAGGATAGTAACCTTGGTGACAAGAATCATTTTAATGATCTGGTATATACTATATGTCTTTATAACAGTTTTTCAGAGTCTTGAATGTATAACAGAAATAATTTAAAATCAATAATGTTGCTGTTGCATCTTTTCACAAATATTTTAACAAACATTCTTTAAATGAGAACTTAACTTTTACTTCAGTTTATGACTCTCGACTTTAATAAAACATAGACAAGTGCACAGAGCTAACTCTAATGAAAGTTTATAGAAATTTCTGTATTTGTAAATAATACTAAAAACAAGAAAAGTGTTAGTCACTCAGTTGTGTCCTACTCTTTGCAACCCCAGGACCTGTAGCCTGCCAGGCTTCTCTGTCCATGAGGATTCTCAAGGCATGAATCCTGGAGTGGGTAGCTACTCCCTGCTTCAGGGAATCTTCAAAACAGAAAAAGAAAAAAATCAATCAAATGATGTACAGACATACACTAAAATGGGATACTTAGTAATAGAGAAAAACTGTCATGTCAATAAAATCAGGATAATTTTTAACTGAAAGTGTACATAAATATTTGAGGATGATATTATTTTAATTTTTTAAAAAATAGACTAGGATTCAGACATATACAATGATAAAAAATTAGAGAGCTCTGGTTCTGAATCTTTTAATGTCCTGCAAAGTCTGTATCATTTGCATGGAGCTACATTTTAAAATTTAACACAGTTGAACATAGATTAGCACTAATATGATTCTTGTAAACAGTTTGGAAAATACAGAAATGTGATGAGACTATACCTGTGATGTGAGGGTGGAGTGTACTGGAAATGATGAGGCCTGGGCTTGAGTGATGAAAACCCCCACTCCTAAACCCCAGCATCTCTACCAAACAGACGTGAGTGTTGTCAATACCAGCGACTCAACAACACAAACAAGGGCCTTTGCCATCTGCCTCTGCGGAGAATGAACCCTTTAGTGCTACAACTGTTGACTTCAATCCCCTCGAGGGAGTTCAGGGTGGATTGAAGCACTCTGCTCCAGCAAAGTCTGGTGGCACAGGTCTTTAGAGAGTTAGATATTTTCAAGAACTGCTTTCATGATCATAATCCGTGCATCTCTTCATATCTAGAAAAGCACTAAACCACTATATGATGACACCAGCTCCTCACGACTGGCAGAAAACCTTTTGTTAAGTAAGCGCTTGACTGCACTGAACTCCCCTTCACCAAAATCACATACTGACCTCCCCCCCACTTTCTCTTTGGAGCAGTGTCTCAGAGCTATCTGAGGTGCTGTATCCTGGGCGGCTGTCCTCATTTTGCCCCAAATAAAACTTAATTCACATCTCTCAAATTGTGCATCTGTTTTAGCTGACAGTGTTCATTTTTCAAAGCAAAGAGCGACTAAGAAGATACGGGATTTCCTCATTAACTGTGATAGGCATATCCACCACTTTTTCTTTCCAAGACTCTTGTTCAAGACAGAAAAAAAATGAATTTCAAAGCGTGGAAATCTCACAGAAGCACCTGAACCAGTGAACATCAGAGGTCATAGGGTACATGGAAAAATTCATTATCACTGCCAGCTATTTTGGCAATATTAGGAAAACCAAGATCTCAATCTATCCAAAAAAAAAATGTCAGTTTTCTGCAAATTCCACCTCCTATATACCTCCCATGATCTGTAGCTTAATAGTCCATGTTTTTAGTACATATTTCTCATCAGTATAGAGGATTGTCTGTGCTACTTTAACTTCTGACAAGTTCTGGAATGCTGAGTTCATTCTACTAACAAGGACGTTTTCTTACTCTTGTTCTTCCTCTTCTAAAGAGCTGAATTGCATTCACATGTAAATTCATCACGGCATTTCCCCGACTTCCCTAAGATCCCAACACCGAACCACATCCCAATGGGAATCTCAGATACCAGTGCCTCCCCGTGTTCATCTCTCACAAAGTGAATGTATTCAACATTGAAAGTCACTATTTCATGCTGAGAATTCATCATGCACTATAGCCGGGATACAGACAATGGAGAAAAGGCTCTGGGACATCAGGGAGACGTAACCTGAACAGCTGGTTTTCACTATTTAAAAAAAAGGAAAAAATAAGGTGATAACAAGCATCCTAAGTAGAAAAATTAGCAGCAGAGAACTAAAGGTTTGCAGATTCTCAGTCCAGGTATTTCAGGAAGAACGGCAGACACAGCCCTAGACCCAGGACAGGACACATACCCGAGAAGCTGCCATTTCCTCTTCTTCCTCCTGCTCTGCGTCTTCTCCGGGGATGTTACATCCCAAACTCACATCTGCATCTTGAGAAAATACCTTCAAAGGCATCCATGCAGCTGTTTAACCTGCAACTGCTGCAGGGAAAGAGAAGAAAAAGTTTTCCTGTTTCCCTCACCCTTTTCTGAGCTCCTTTTCGACTTTCTGTGTTCCCAATCTGGAGTGGGGAATGAAGATTAACCTGATAATACTAATCACATCCTGTTGCTCTACACTATTTGCAGATCCTGCGGGCTACTTCTTCTTCGTTTGCAGAGTTACAGAGGACACTTCACGAGAGACAAAGGACCCTGCTTCTGGGCTACCTGACCCAGCCTATGAGGGTTGTGAAAAAAATGCAAGAGGACGACCCGCATTCAGAGCCCTGAGGGGAAACCTCACACCTGAGACCTCAGGAAGGGACGATTTAGGGAGAGAAATTCTAGAAACAAAGGTCAACCTGATTCCCTGGGGAGGGGCTCTTTCTAGGATGGATGTGGTGGTCCACAGCCCGCCTGTATCCTTGGGGGCTGGGAGGGGAGAGGTGAGTGAGTGGTGGGAATCACCTAGGGGTCTTGGGTCCCTGCCAGGCTTTACTTGCAGAATTCTTCCCAAAGATCTCCCCTGTCCTTAGTCTTTTCCACCCCCCTCTGCAGCCTGGAGACACAGGTTTTCACACAATGATTTGCTTTGTGACCACCTTTCTGCAGGTGTGGCAACTCCAACTTCAGAGCCCAGGAGCCTGGAGGCATTTCCATCCCCGCTTTCTTGGAAAAGAAACTCTTGCAGGAAGGGGGACCCCTTCGAGGCCTGAAACTGGGCTCTAGTCTAACACTTGGAAATGAATTGTCCGAGGAGACACATGCTGACAAACCAAGAGATTTTATTGGGAAGGGCACCCGGGTGCAGAGCAGGAGGGTAAGGGAACCCAGGAGAACTGATCTGCCTTGTGGCTCGCAGTCTTGGGTTTTATGGTGATGGGATTAGTTTCCGGGGGGTCTTTGGCCAATCATTCTAATTCAGTCTTTCCTGGTGGCCCACGCATCACTCAGCCAAGATGGATGCTAGCAACAGGGATTTTGGGAAGTGGACGCAGGTGGAC